GAGAACTAAAAAGATGGCAATGACACCAAATGCTGGCAAAGATGTAGAGAAACTAGATCACTCATACAGGTTAGTGGGAATGTAGAATTATACAGCCAGTCTAAAAAACAGTGTACGTGTTTCTTATAAAACTAAATATGCATACAACTCAACAATGGAGCTCTTGAGCATTTACTCAAAGAAATGAAAATGTATGTTCATGTAAAAATCTATATGCAAATGTTCAGAGCATCTTAATTTAGAATATCCCAAAACTGGAACACCCCAGATATCTTTCAAGGGGTGCATATTTTTAATATAGTATATCCATACCATGGAATACTATTAAAAATTAAAAAGAGATTAATAATTGAAAAATGCAACTACTTGGAATAATTACCAGAGAATTATGCTAAGTAAGAAAATTCAATCCATTAGTTACATAGTGTAAGATTTCATTTATATAATATTCTTAAAATGACATAATAATAGAAGTGAAGAACAGATTAATAAATTGTCAGAGGTCAGGGATATGTTGGGGAGAAGGATATTGGCATAGTTATAGAAGGGCAACAGAAAGGTTCTTATGGTTCTCAAGGAACTGTTCTTGACTGTGGATAAAAGAATGTGAACATGAGAAAAAATTCTATAGAGCTACACACACACACTCACACATGTGAAATCTGAATGAATGGTGGATTTTATCCATTTCCTGAATGTGGTATGGTACTATAGTTTTTCAAGAAGTTACCATTTAGGAAAATGGGTAAGGAATAAACAGAATCTCTGTATTATTTCATACAACTGCATGTGAAAATACAATTATCTCAAGATAAAATGTTTAATTATAAAAAACAAAAAACCTAAAGGGTTGAATAGAAAACAAATACAAAGATGGTAGATATAATCCCAAAGATACCAGTAATTACAATAAACTAAACTAAATAATCCAACTGGAAGATTAAGATTGTTATTTTGGATTTAAAAAAAGAAATAAAAGAAAAATAAATACAGCTCAGAAAGGACACATTTTGTAGAGTAAGACTAATGAAAGTTGAAAGAAATGGATAAAAGAATATATAATGTAAATATTAGCTGGTAGATATCCAGTGTAATTCTTGAAAGCAAGAAACAATTCCAGAGATATGGGACATTTCATAATGATAAAAGGGTTATACATCAAAAAGCCATAAGGTTCTAAATCTGCTTATATCCAATAATGTAAAATTAAATGTATACAATAAATATTGACACACTAAAAAGGAGAAACACACAAAGTCACCATCATAGTAGGAAAGTGAGATGCACTTTTCTCAATATGAACAAATATGGCCTAGTTGAAATATGTACAATACTACACTAAAGAAGATGAGAATACCGATTCTTTTAAGTGCATGTAGAACATTTGGAACTATTCATACACTGGATGAAATAGTCTCAACAAGTATCAAAGGATTGAAATTATTCTGCATGAAATTATACTAGAAAGCAATAAAAAAGAAATAATTAGAAAAATCCCAAAATATTTTGAAATTTTGCAATACACTTTTATCTAAAATATAGTCCATGAGTCAAAGAAGTAATTAAAACAAAAATTAGAAAATATCATTAAATGAATACTAAAAAAAAAAAGCCTCATGAATATCAACACTTGTGGACTTCCAATTCTGGCCAAGAAAAAGTAGCCCCATATCTCTCAAATGCTCCCCAACACAACTAATGTTCCTTGGACATACTCCAACAACAGGTATAGATGATGCTTGAAATGGAAAGGAAAAGGCTGATTGCCTAGGGACCTTTGGACTTGAGGAATGATAAGGTGGTAAGTCTCATGGGTTTTCTTACTGCCTCCCATACATCCTAGACAGTGCGATCTAGAAGTCTGCAACCCAGAATCACTAACAGGAAGACAAAAAAAGGGTTACAACAAAGTTTGTTCTCCCTAAAGGACTAGGGAATGAGTGAGCTAACCACATTCAATGTTTTTTGGAAATCTGCCCTAATACAATCAAGTATCAATGGAACCACTGTTCCATTTCCTCCAGGTTTCAGCAGGGCCAAGCAGGGAGCTAGTCTTCTACACCTCCTCTGATTCCATCACCTGGTGGTGTTCAAGGGACCAGGCAGGAAGCTGATCTTCCATCCCCCATGTAAAAGAAGTAGGCAGCATTCCCATTTCCCTTAGAGTAATGTCATTGGGGTCTAGTGGGAAACTTAACCCCCATTCCCACACTGAGGCAATTAAACTGAGTGAGGTGGCATGAAATGAAGTTAGTACTCTATCTCTCCACCCGTGCTAACCACCATGGCTCAGTCAGAAGCTTAGCCTCCACTGCCATCTGTCATCACCAAGGTGGAGTGAGGTGGTGGGAGGTGGGACTCCTTGCTCTCAGTTTTCCCTCCATCTCTGTCAGCAGGGTCTCCTCTCTGTCAGTAGGGTCTCACTATGGAGAGCTGACCTCTAGCCCATCCTGTAGCAATAAGGCAACATGCATCAGTTCTGCCCCTCTACCCTCCCAGGTGACAATAGGGTCAACCAGAGAAATAAGCTGACGCTCCACTCAAAGGCAATGCATGATCCAGTTGGCATCCGACTTTCACCAGGATTTAGTCAGAGGGACTGAGGAGTGTGGCAAACTTACACTTCAGCCATCTTTAATGAGGCAGTTTGAGTGGGCATTCAGGGAACTTAACATACACCCCCACCCAGCCCTCACATTACATGTCAACAAAGGGATTACTTGCTTTAAAAAGGAGATTTAAAAAGAATCCAGAGTCATAATTTAATACCCAAAACGTCCAGGATAAAATTTTTAAAAAATCACTGGTTTTATCACAACTTGAAAGATAAAAGACAATCCAAACACACCAATACTGAGATGAATGAGATACTGAAATTATCTGACAAGTATTTTAAAGCAGTCATCATAAAAATGCTTGAATAAGCAATTACAAGTGCTCTTAAAACAAATAAAAAATTAGAAAACACACACACACACACACACACACACACACACACACACACCCCAAATGGACTTGATAGAACTGAAAAACACATCAACAAAAAAAATAATAAAATCATGCCGAATGGATTCAATAGCAGAATGGAAACAAGAGAAGATAGAATCAGAGAACTTGAAGACCAATCAATAGCATTTACCCAGTCTGTATAGCAGAAAGAAAGTGATTGAAAAACAAAAGTATAAATTTTCAGGGATCTGTGGAGGAATAATATAAGAGCTAACATTGTATTAACAAAGTGACAGAAGAGAAGAGATACTGGGACTGACAAAGTATTTAAAGAAGTAATGACTGAAAAACATCCATCTGCTGAAAAGTCATAAATGTACAGATTTAAGAAGCTGAGTGAAGCCAGGAGAGAATAAACCCAAAGAAATCCATGCAAAGATACATCATAATTAAACTTCTGAAAACTAAAAAAAAAAAAGAAGAAGAAGAAAGAAAAACAAAACAAACAAAAAAAAACTTTAAAAGCCGGAAGAGAGAAAGAACAAATTAGTTATAAGGAAGCACCAATTTGAATGATCAGGGTGGCCCAAAGGCAGTGCATGACATTTTTCAGATACAAGGCAAGAATTGTCAACTCTGATTTCTATATCCATGGAAACTATCCTTAGGAATGAAGATAAAAAAGATATTTTCAGACAAAGGAAATTAAGAGAATCTGATGCAAGTAAATCTACCTTTAAAGAATGACTAAAAAAAAAAAACTTAAATAGAAAGAAAATGTTAACAGAAGGCTTAGAACTTTAGAAAGGATATTGGAACAGGTGAATCTTGGGTTAAACATAATAAACTATCCTTCTTTCCATAAGTTTTTCAGATCATTTTTGATAATTGAAGCAAAAATCATAATACCACCTGATATGGTGCTTGATATATATAGAAGAAATTAAGATAATTATGCTTACAAAGTGTGGGGGCGGATTAAGGGACCTAACTATACTTCATTCAAAGTGATAAATCATCAATACAGTGGTGTGATAAGATACGTATGTATATTGTAGTGCCTTCAGCAACCACTCAGAAAACTATACCAAATGATATACTGAAAAGCTATGTAAATAAATCAAGATATAAACCTGAATTTCTGGGCATAGCTAAAGCAGACTTTGATGAAATGTGCAGTTCTGACTACATAAATTAACAAAGGAAGTCTGAAAAATTATCAAACCAAAGGTTAGGAAACCATGGCCTACAGACCAAGTCTCACCTGACACCTGTTTTTATAAATAAAGTTTTATTGGAATACAGCCATACACATTCATTTATATTTTGTCTATGGCAGTTTTTATGAAACAAAGGCAGAATTCAATAGTTGTTACAGAGAAATTAGGCCTGCAAAGCCTAAAATATTTACTATGCCACTTGTTACGGAAAAGTTTCAGGACACCTAGAACATCGATCTCAAGAAACTATAAAAACAAAAAGTCAAGCCAAAAAATTTAAGGAATGAAAACAATCAAGAAAGAAGAAGAAATTCGTTATTTATAAAACACATAATGAAGAGCTTCAGGACATTGCTAATAATCTACACTTATTTAAAAAGATAATACGAGAATATTATCAAGTACATGAAAATAAAGTTTGCTATCTAAATTAACTATACAATTTCCTTGGGAAAAAAAAAAACTATTTAGTAAAACTAAGATAAGAAATAAAAAAAAATCAAAGACACCGAACTGGGGACCTGGGTGGCTCAGTTGGTTAAGTGACTGCCTTCAACTCTGGTCATGATCCTGGAGTCCAGTATCGAGTCCCACATCGAGCTCCCTGCTCAGCAGGGAGTCTGCTTCTCCCTCTGACCGCCCCCAGTCTCTCTTTCATTCTCTCTCTCTCAAATAAATAAATAAAATCTTAAAAAAAATAAAGACAATGAATCTATTACAGCAAGTTAGTAGAGTTAGGGCCTTAAGTTAATGTTTTGTGTCATTGGATTCATAAATGTTTTACTGTGTTTGCAGTGAACAGAAAATCAGAATCTACTAGCATGAACTCACCGACTCAAATCTGTCCCAGGCACATACTGAGAGAAACGTGAATGAAGCAGCGGGATCAGCCTAAGGTCACACCATCGCTTTTCCCATCTCAAGCCTGGAGATGTTGGCCATGAAGAACATGACAATGTGTCCTGAAAAGAATATAAACAATCAGTATTCTTTTTTTCAGTTCTGTGTTTTGAGTTCCTATGTCACAAATACTTTTCATTTGGAGGGGATTATTTTTTCTCCTAAATAATCAAAAGACATTTATAGACTGCCTCAAAAAGGGATCCATACTCATTGCCAATGAAGTTGCATCTGTTAATTTCTTTATTAATGGCATTCTATATGAAAGTGAGAAGGGAATCATTGAGATTAAGAGAGGTAGGGAAAGCATATGGAAAAAATGGAGTGGGGAGAAGGAAGAAAAAATAGAAGGATGAAAGAACTGAATTCATTCAGGAATGGGAAATAAGGAGCAAGCTGTAACTGCAATGAAGTAGTAAGTGACAATATAAAAATAAGTTGTAGTTCATTCCATTAGCCAATATTTTCTGAGTATCTGCTAAGCACTAAACAATGTTAGGTAACTGCTTGTGATTTATCAGTTACTTGTAACTATTTTTGAGTAGAATAAATATTCTTATAAAACAAATTTTAAAAACTACTCAAGGAAATATTTGTCTATTGTTGTAACTTCATGTTTAGAAAATCTTTGTATTTTCTTATATTGTTTTAAAGTCATGTAAAATCAACCAGTGCTGGTTTAAAATTACCTGTATTTTAAGTTTCATTAGAAGTTTGGGTCTTTTTCCTTACATATAGAAGAAACATCTATTTAAATAAAATTTGGGCTTTTCACACTTGATGATGATTCATGCTTCTTTCATTATTTCAGCTTTAGTTTAATATTTCTTCCTGGCAGTAGTACATGGAATAATGTTGATATTTAAGTTGGCATGGATTGTAAGGGACCAAGGCACAATGTCACTTCTTTATATCTATAGATTCTATAATTTTTGAGTGATGATGTTGGAAGGAAATCCCATTTTAGTCTAGATGTTAAAACTTCATTAGTATCAACATTATTATTAACATTTTCTTTTTTAAAAATGATTTTACTTTTAAGTAATCTCTACACCCAACATGGGGCCAGAACCCACAACCCCGAGATCAAGAATCACATGCTCCACCAACTGAGCCAGTTAGGCGCCCCTAACATTTTCTTTAAGATATTAATTTCTTCACAATTGCTTAGGGGAAAAAACTTCCGTTATTTTTCACTGAAGGTTGAGTGCTCTTTGGCATTATTATGTTAATTGGTCCCAATTGTGCCAACAAAAATCTACTAAATCCTTCAAATTGTTGAGAACACTCTGGTAGGAAGGCAAGGGTAGATTTGCAAAGACCATCCAATAAGGGGCCCGACTGGTGATTGGTCTCCAAGACCCCTAGCCTTTGAAGCAACACCGGTGACTTAGATGCTTATTTGGTGATTGCAAAGGCACAGACATAGGTTTCATGTTGATCTTTCTTCTGGCCTTGATGTCATATGTTATAGATGGTCAACATTTGAAACGAAGTCAGTTAGGTGGCAGTGCCACAAGGTGGGGAAGGTTCAGGCTCTGAATCAAAATCAGACCACCTGGGTTCAAAAATGCCAATTTCCCAACTGACTAGTCCTTTAACCTAGGGGCAATTTATTTAAACTCTTGGGGCTTTATTGTGCTTGTCTCCAAAGATAAGGCTATCACAAGGCTTCTTCTCACAAAAGAAAAACCTAAAGCTTTTTTAGGCTCAGTAAATTACTGTTTCTCCACCTTTTCTGCATGAAGGCACTTGAAGAAACAATAATCCTGAGTGACACACTAGGGTAAACAGACTAGATTTCTGTGGCCAGAACAGACTGTAGCAAGTGTTAAGTGTCCCAGGTCCCACCAAGCTGCCCTATAACTATTAAGCATTATGTCTGGAACCAACTCAAAGGACCCCAGTGCACATGGTTCTCTCCTGAGAAGTTTTACAGTAAATAAATGGTTCAGGTCAGCCAGCCTGCAAGTGACAGTGCCGGGCAGATTCATTAGACCTAAAAGTCTTTATGATTCTAGGGCCATCATATCTATTATAGCACATTTGCCATTCATAGTCAGAGGTGAAACCACACAAAGAATAATTCAGATTTTTGTCTTGATTATTTCACAATTTTGCTATGTGATTTTTGGCAAATTATTTAAAGATGGTTCTTCATCTTTCTTGAAAAACACAAATAGTTCCCCTCACTTTATATGTTCCATGAACAAATGACATAGAAAGTGTAACAGAAGATAAAAGACTTAAGCAATGGAATATTGGGGACAATGATAATCACTAATAGATGAGTATAAGTTTGAGAAATCATGTTTTATAAGACTTCATAGTCTTATATGAAATATACAAAAATATATGTGATCTTTGATGTGTCTTTGATGTAACATCTCAACTTGATACTTTTATGAAACAAAGTTGTCAAATGTCACTTTCTTTTATGTTTTCTCCTTATAAAAAATATGAACTAAGTCCCATTTCAGCTATTGAGCCGATCAGCATTAACGTATTTCATTTTACAAATCTGCTATTTATAAAGCCCTTTGAAGATTATTGAATGTTTCCCTTAAGGAGACTGTTTATAGTGTGCACACATTCTGTGGAAAAATATGTTTCTAAATTCATACTTCCTTCCCATTTCCCCCTGTTCATTGTTATTTAGTGATGGGTCAGAAGAAAACATGCCTTTGATTACTCCTAATTTTATAAATCTCTGAGTAGAAATGTCCTTCACTCTCCATACCTGCCTCCAAGCCTATCAAGATACAGAAGAGGAATACGGGGTAGAACTGGCCAGGTAATGGCCAGTAAAAGGACTTGGGTACCCAAGGCACACAGGTAAGGAATAGGACTGGTGCACTGAGATACAATGAAGGCTGGAGATGCTCAAAATGAGTACTTTGAGGTAAAGTGCCACAGTTAGGTCAAGAATTTCAAGTGAAAGATGAATCTTTTAAGTCAGAAGCTGTATGTGTTTTTTACATATCCTAATATGTAGAATAGAAAAATAAAATTCTACTTAACATCAGCACTACTGCCTCTCTTCATGTTTGTGATCCCAGGGGAAATTTGTTAGATTCACATATAACTTGAGAGAACTATTTTGTCTTTAGCATGTGTGAGTGTTTTGAAGGGTGAAATATAAGGAGTTTCAAACATATTTATAAAAAAATCCAAAAAGCAAAAAAAAAAAAAAATGGTTTACTCCACATTACATGTGGAAAAGAAAATTTAACATTTTATTAAATGTATATAAAACAAACATGCCAATTTTATCAATGATTAAATACATGTATAGCTTAACATTTATGACATTTTAACATGATGTTAGATTATTCTCTCTTTGCATTAATTTCCTGGTATGCCTGCAGATTGTTTAGAAATCCTACCAAATGGAAAATTAAATAGCTACTTTCAGCTAAATGATTTCAAAAGAAAAACGATAAAAATCATGTCAAATCACTTAGAGCATGAAATTACATACAATGTGCACTGTTATAAAATGATTATGTGATGTTATGTGTGAACTCACTACGTTAAGTCTCTATAGCTTACAAAAGGCTTAATGCAGACCTGAGAGGAGAAAAATGACATTAAAAAATATTTATTTATTTTTTCCTTCCTGGCTTATCTTTTTTTTAATTTTATTTATTTATTTGAGAGAGAGAATGAGAGACAGAGAGAGAGAGAGAGCACATGAGAAGGGGGAGGGTCAGAGGGAGAAGTGGACTCCCTGCCGAGCAGGGAGCCTGACGTGGGACTCGATCCCGGGACTCCAGGATCATGACCAGAGCCGAAGGCAGTTGCTTAACCGACTGAGCCACCAGGTGCCCCTCTTTCCTGGCTTATCTTAACTCCTAACTCTTAAAGGATGAAGCAAATAAGGATCTCAACTATATCAGAGCAATGAGATTCATTAGCAGTTTTTGCAAACTATGACTATTCATACAGATAATATATATATATTCAGTATATTTTATATATTGCTCTTCTCTTTTCTTTGTGTTATCCCCTTATTAATCTGAACTATGCCTTGGTCATCTTACTGTATTGTTGGGATGATAGTTGAGATGCAAGCCACTGTCACAAAGTGGAGAGGAGGTGCCACTGCTCTGGTCACTTGGAGCACCTGCAGGAAAAATTAACAACACCCCACTGGTTAGAACACCTAAATATTCTAGACTGATGTATTCTACATTATATCTTTCCATATACTCAGTAATGTCAAGACAGTCAGGCAATAAAATTAATTTTTATTTCACTTATATCAAAGCCAGAGTTTTGCAAGTAGGCTAAGTGACTAAAGTAGGACCCTGAAAGAGAACCATGTATTGATCTTTGAGTTCAGAAATATTGCAAGGCTTTATTATAAAAACATATAACCTTATAAAATTATTTCATTTCATTATCCAAAGTGACCTACACTTATGAACCATACTTATAATTGTGCAGAGTTCAGTTTGTCTACAAAATTCTATTTATTGTTATGTTTCAACCTACTGACAAGTCATATTTTTAGATACCATAATTTTCCATGATTCAAAAAAAGTTTGTATGGGCTCTTTACAAATGCTCTTGGTATATACTATAGTTGGAAATGACTTCATTCATGCTATGTAAATTGGTGAAATTAAAACTAAAAATCTTCATATCAGATTCTCATAAGAAACTTGTTAATATCTGTCTCTAAATATGAGTATCGTATGTCTTAAACTGAGATTTCACAATTCAGTAATTTTTACAGTTAGGATTAGAAAACATATTTCTTGATTTTTAATTATCGCTTTTTATGGAAAACGTTATATATTTTGAAGGTGCTGATATTGATTAATATGCATTATTAATACAATTGACTCCCAAATTTTACTTGAGATATTATACTTAAAACATCAGATCATAGGTAAAACTCCTAAAATTAAAGTGTTGAAAAAAAAAGTGATTTTGTTCTCCTTTTTAATCACTCTAAAGTTTCATAGCTTTCCTGTTGTTAAGAAGGGGATCGCAGTCTTTTCTACCAAACAAGCATGAATATAGTTTTTCCACTTTTTAAATCTTAACAATTTCATACTTTGTTTTAGATAATTTTTTCTTTTGATATTTATCTGCATTTATCTCTTATGAGATGATATTTTAATACATAAACATATTACTTTAAAATGTATATACATTTTGAACAGAATAAAATGATATGTCAAGTTCTGTGACAGATCCAAAGCAATCTTTTGAGTGAAATTCAAAGCGCTGTGAATTGTCTAAGACTGTTGAATCACAGACCTGTACCTCTGAAACAAATAATACATTATATGTTAAAATAAAAAAACGAAGAAGATAGCAGGAAGGGAAAAAGGAAAGGTGGGAAATCGGAGGGGGAGACGAACCTTGAGACACTGGACTCTGAGAAACAAACTGAGGGTTCTAAAGGGGAGGGGGTTGGGGGGATGGGTTAGCCTGGTGATGGGTATTAAAGAGGGCACATTGTGCGTGGAGCACTGGGTGTTATACACAAACAATGAATCATGGAACACTACATCAAAAACTAATGATGTAATGTATGGTGATTAACATAACATAATAAAATAAAATTAAAAAAAATTAAAAAAAGAAATTCAAAGATTTAAATGTATACATAAAAGGTACAAACACAATGATCTATACTTTCATCTTAAGAAGTTAGAGATGAAAGAGCAAATTAAATCAAAGTAAATAGAAGACAAAAAATAATAAAAATAGAAGTGGAAAATAGTAAGAATCTGAACAAAATAATAGACAAAATTAACCAAGACAAAAATGGATTCTTTGGAAAGATTAATAAAGCCCATAGCAAAAATGATGTAGTAAAAGAATGAGAAAATACTAAGTTATCAATATCAGGAATGAAGAAGGTGGTATTAATGCAAGCCATCAAACATTAATAGAAATGATAAAAGGACATGATGAATAATTTCATGCAAATAAATTCATAACTTAGTTAAAATGGAAAAAAAATCTTGAAAAATGTTTTACCAAAACTTATAAAAGAAGAAAAAGTATCAGAAAAAGTCCTATAAGAATTCAAGAGATGTGGGCACCTGGGTGGCTCAGTTGGTTGAGCGACTGCCTTCGGCTCAGGTCATGATCCTGGAGTCCCGGGATCGAGTCCTGCATCGGGCTCCCTGCTCAGTGGGGAGTCTGCTTCTCCCTCTGACCCAACCCCCTCTCATGTGCTCTCTCTCTCTCTCTCTCTCATTCTCGCTCTCTCAAATGAATAAATAAATAAAATCTTTAAAAAAAAAAGAATTCAAGAGATGAATTAATACAAAATAAAAATTATAATTCTAGGGTGTTATTGCCTTTTGGTGAATTTATTAAATTATTTAAGAAAAATACATTACTACTGGTAAGTAAAATCTTTGTGGAAATAAGAGTTACCACTCCACAAGTTACATGAAGACATTAAGAACCCTGGTACCAAAATCGCACTAAAACTTTACAAAAATGAATATCCCTCATGAACATATTTTTTTTAAGTTTTTCTTATTTATTTATATATTTATTTATTTGAGAGAGAGTGAAAGAGAGAGAGAGCATGAGCAGGGGGGAAGGGCAGAGGGAGAGGGAGAAGCAGACTCCCCACTAAGCAAGGAGCCCAATAGTCCCTAATCTTGAGCAGGACCCTGGGATCATGACCTGAGCAGAAGGCAGACGCTTAACCGACTGAGCCACCCAGGTGCCCCACATATATATATCTTTTTAAGTCTTAATGTTTTAGCAATTGAAACCAGCAATACATTAAAAAAAAAACAAAAACTTAACATTTCATGACCAGTGGTGTTTATTCTATGAATTCAGGCTTAATTTGGCATTCAAAATAAATATTTAAAAATTCACCATATCAGCAGAATAAACAAAAATGATTAAAAATATAATAAGACTGGAAATTTCTCCTCTAATACCTTCAGCAAGAGAAAGATGTCTATTCTCAGTACTTTATATAACATTTTACTGGAAGTCCTAACCATTGCAATGGGCAAGAAAACGGAATTTAAAAAATATAGATTGGAAAGAAAGAAGCAGAATTCATTATTTGCAAATAACATAACTGTAAGTAGAAAGTGTTAAAGAATATAACAAAAACCCTACAGAACTAATAGAAAGTTAAGCCTATGATGCAGAATAAGTTTATGTATAAAAATAAACTGTACTTCTATGTGTTAGCCGCAATAACTGGACAATTAAATTTTTTAAAATACCATTTATGGTAGAATAAAAAATGCTTAGAAATAAATTTAATAAAAGATACACATGACTTTCTCACTGAAAACACTAAAATGTTGCTGAGAAAAATTAAAACATAAATAAATAGAAAGTTATATCATGTTCATGGATTGAAAGATTTAAAGTTGTTAATATGTTAATTCTCAAAATTATCTATAAATCCAACTTAGTCCCATTCAGAATCATAATTGAATTTTGTAGAAATTGATGTGCTATTTTTAAAATATACACAGTAATGTAAAGGGTCTACAATAGGTAAATAATCTTGAAAAATTGCAAAATTGGAAAACCTATCCTTGGGGATCAGCACTGTAGTTATGGTGAAAAAATAGACACAAAAGTTAATGGAAATAAGAAAGTCATTTCTTGATTCTAAATTCCTAGTTCAGACACAAAAAGTAATTAATATAATATGGATTCTAAACTTAAACATAAAACCCAATGTCATAAGGCTTCTAGGAAAAATGTAGGAGAATCTTTTGCTACCTTGGAGTAGGCAAATATTTCTTAGAGAAGATATAGAAAACAATAACCATATGCAAAAGAAAAACAACCACAAAATAGTAAATTAGACTGTCAAAATTAAAATCTTCTGCAAACCTAAGACATTTTTAGGTAAAATATGTAGTTATGTATAGACTGAGAGAAAATATTTGCGATACATATAGCTGACAAAGATTATATACAGAATATTTTCTTAAACTCCTGCAGTACAATTATATAAAGACATACCAATAGAAAAATGGGAAAAACTTGAGCAGACAACTTACAAAATAATATATGCAAATCTCTAATAATAAATGCAAATGGTACATGATAAGGAGCTGATTATAATTAGTCTTCAGGGAAATGCAAATTATAGCTATAATAAACTACCTCTGCACACCCAATAGAATATCTAAAAAAAAATCTTTGATCATAAAATATTGGGATAAGTGTAGAGCAACCAGAACTCTTGTACATTGCTGGAGTGGAGAGTAAGAGGTTTTTAAATATATGTCTAATTTAGAAATATTTTTTGGCAATTAGTTAACAAGTTAATTATATGTCTACCTGGTGACTTAGCAATTCCCCTCTTAAGTACTTACGGTAGTGAGATAAAATTGGAAGACTTTCAAAAGCCTTACACAAGAATGTTCATAATAGCTTTATGCATAGTGCCAGACTACAGGAAACAGCTCTGTTATCTATCAATAGGAGAATGATGAGCAAATTTCAGTATATTCATCTAATGGAATATTACACAGCAATGTAAATGAACAAACATCTGAAAATCACACAAGTGATTTTCATTATGAAAGAAGCCAGACATAAAAGAGTAAATACAGTATAATTCCATTCTAAAAAAGTTCTAGAAGAAGCAAAAAGAAATATGATGCTAAGAAATTAAATTAATGGCTATTTCTGTGGGTGTTATTTATTGGGAAGAGGCACAGAAGGACCTTTCTCTGATTTAAAGGCATGTAGATTAAGCAAATGTGTGCATTGTCAGAACCAATCCAATTGTTCATTTAGGAGCTTTGCATTTCATTGCATGCAAATTATGCCTCAAAGATATATTCTTTGATTTTTAGCAAAATGTTAGATGATATTTTATCTCTTAATATAGAAACTGATACAGAGATTTTTAAGTAACCCTTAGGAGTTTCCACATAGACTGGTGCTTCCTTCAATCTCCCTAGCCTCATCAGGATGACTTAAGTGTAAGTGCTTGTTTAAGTCCAGTAGCTAAATAACAGTTTTTATTCTACAAGTTAGAGAAAATATATTAATCAAATATTAAGAATGAAATATAATAGAGATACAAAATGTATGTAGTTGATATGATACTATTTTTACAATAAATGATATGTCTCCAATTATAGGTTAGCAAATAACTGTAAATGTGCTGAATACATTCTGAACATTCTGAAACAAAATAACATCTGCTCCCTTTGCATAAGCATCCATAGAATGCTTTGTGATATAAAAATATTTGTACTCAAGCAGAAATCCCAACTTTTAAAAAATTACCAATTCCTGTCAGGAAATAATGGTTTAGAAAATATATATGATGATGCGAGCATTTTACCTATACTTCATAAATGCTTACATGCACAATCTTCATTCAGTGGGAGTTTGAGGAAAGCAGGTGCTCTTTTTAAAAATGACACTGTTAGGGTCACTTCTTCTCCAGCGTTCCGAAGCACCTGAACCTAAAATAAAACCGAAGGAAAATGATACTTTATTGCGATAGGCACAAAGTATTTTATATGATTGCAAAACCTTGAAATGATTCGTTGTCTTTTCCATCCCTCTTTTTTCCGTAATGGTCAGAAACATTTATTAAAGATGGGGGAATACAGCCATCATGTTCTTCCTCTTCCCAACATTTGGTGGTCCCCTGTTCACTCACAGTGTCATCATCTTCCATTCATATTTATAGAGGTCTCTTAGTATTTGGTGTGTATTAGTCAATATGAAAGATTATGACATTTACAGAAAGATGTAGTGCTCAAGCCACTGTGCCATTAATTTAATAATATTTACTGAACCTCTATTATACACTACTTGGAGATATAAAAATAAATGACCCTGCAGATGCTGATGAATGAGCTAATTCACATTTAACAAAATTGGCCAAATTCAGTCAAGCACTTTTGCAAAAAAAATTAATAAATAGGTATTATTTTCCTGTTATATCATTGCATATTTTATTCTCCTTTCCCTGACAACTTGGAATAATGGTGGAGACTGTTATCATCAACTCTCAACACTTTTCAAATTATAGAATAGGTCTAATTTTACCAGTTAAAATAATGTCAATTTCTTCAAAAATTGTATCAAGACAATTGTAAGAAATACTAGAAGAAGTACAGGAAGCTGAGGAGTTATCTATAACAAACATACGTAGAAAAGATATAGGCATATTTATAATTTTGAAATCTCACATCAGCTAAGAGGAGAATTACGAATAATTAGTGAAGAGACAGTAAACATGGGGACACAGCTTGTGAATAAACATCTAGAAAAAAATTCTCCACCTCCAGTCATTAGAGAATTGGCTATCAAAAGGATTTAGAATGATTTTGGGTCTGGAGAAGATGGATTGGCTCATCTTCCCCTGCTCCGCCTCAGTAACTATAAACACTCAAAAACCTGCAAGATACAACTGAAATGCAAGTCAAACTCTGACAGGTAGAAAGAGAAAAGAAGAACTCGTTAGGGATCACAGGACTGATGGAACAGCACACAGAGGAGGGGTGTTTTAGATGCTCCCACCCAACAGAGGGATTTCTACCCACTGGTGGATAAAGAATCCCTTTGTCCACTTAGTGGCACAAGGGGGCCCAGCGTGAGAAATCTCCTGCCACCTCCTCAAACAGCATCAGCAGGAAACAGTGGGAAATCAATTAGACCAAAGAAGCCAAACAGGCTCTAAAAAGTGTATTGTCAATGGAACCACAGTCCACAAAATTAGGCTAGGACCTGTATGGTAAATAGAATGAATTCCTGCTAAAAAGAAAAAAAAAAAAAGTCTTACGTAAGAACCACAGGCTCAACATAATAAGCCAAGTGGCTAAGAAACGATAAAATAACACATCTCACTAAGAACCAGAAAAATCACAATTTGAATGAGAAAATATAGCTAACTCCAACTAGATGAATTACAAACTGGTGTTATCTGATAAGGTTTTAAAGCCACCTTAATAAAAATGTTAGCAAGAAATTACAGTCTCTTGAATCAAATGAAAAATTACAAAATCTCAGCAAAGAAATACAAATTGTGAAAAAGAACCAAATAGAACTGTAGAACTAAAAACAGCATTAACGTAAATTTAAAAAAAAACATATTGGATTGGCTCAATAATACAGTGAAGATGACAGAAGTCAGAATCAGTAAACTTGAGGGCAGAACAATAAAATTCACCCACTCACGTGCAGGAAAAAATAATGTATTTCATCACATTAAAAGTAGAAAAAAAGGTTTAAAAATGAAAAATATATATATATAGTCATTTAAATAGATGTAAAGATGAATTTAATAAAATACATTTGATAAAAATTCATAGAAAACTAAGTATACAAAAGAGTATCTTCATATTAGAAAGAGGATATAGAAATATCTTTAAGAAACATCGTCATTAATGGTGATTTATTAAGACATTTCTCCCTGAGATCAGAAATGAGACAAAATGTCTACTATCTCATTTTCCTTAATCTTTCTTCAGGTCTTACTGCAATAAGGCAAGAAAAGAGCTAATAAAATGCCCAAGAATTGAAAGAAGAAATGAAACTGTCATTATTCAGAGATAAGATAATTTTGAGCATAGAAAATCCTTGGGAATCTATAGACATTATTACATGAGACATTACCAGTTGAGTTACTAAGGGAGTTCAGCATGAAATAGTATAGATACAAAGTAATAGACTGTTAGAAAGAAAACCATAGCCCAAATGGAGTCATATATGTTTGGCTATCACCAAACCAGAGCTTAATACCTAATCTAATTGCAATTTCAAACTCTCCCAAAAATATAGTCTTAAATAGACAGGCGTTTTCTGGTCAGCACCAAGGAGGTAATCTGCCACATGGGCCCTCTCCAACCCCCAAAGGAAGACGAGGTAATCCATCTACTAAGGCCTCTTGCCCTTCCTCCTAAAGGAAGGTGATCTTGCCTCAAACAATACTTTCTCTTTTTTTCTTTTCTTTCTTTCTTTCTTTTTTTTTTTTTGACTAATTGTCCCTCCCCTTGTCTGCCTATAAAATCCTTCCATTTTGTACAGAGTCTTGGAGCTCCTTTCTACTTGCTAGATGGGATGCTGCCTGATTCATAAATGGCTTAACAAAGTGAATTAGATTTTCAAATTTACTTGTTTAAATTTTGTTTTTTAACAATACAAAGGTCAACTGATTTTGATTCAATATCAACAAATAAATATAACAATTTTTAAATAATGTCAGACTATGCTGTCATGGATCACTAAATGTAATACTATAAAGACATCAATTCCCTCCTACTTTTCTATAAATGCAAGACAATTCTATTCAAGTTCCCAATGTCTTTTTTTTTATTCAATTTTTGGCTTAGTATGAATTTATGAACTTGCCTTATGTTTTTCATTGACATTTAACACTGATATAATCATTATTATATAACTGTATTGAGAGTTCATGAGTCAGTGAAATATATGGGATGGTGGAACACAATAGGTCAATACTTATATTCTACAGTAAATGTACAACAAATAATTTCTATCATTAAATAATAAAGAACAGTATGAGCATCTTAAGGGTAAATATGAGAATAAACATGTATAAGTTAAATATGGTTGCATCAGAAATAAGCAATGGACAACTTGTTTACATGTGTACTTCAATCTTGAAGTTTTATTCAAGTATAATTGAGAAAAATAAAAAAAAAATTTTAATTGTAAAATCTCACCCTAGGGGATAACTTAGTTTTGTTTTTAATAAAAGGTCAATTGTGGTTATCTTTCTGGCCAGCACAAGTTCAAGTCCTTGACACATACACATTTCTTAATAAATACAGGAATATTCATTTTTTCAGTGAACAGGATTGAGATAATGTGTTTTAAATTTTTTCTCAGCTTTGCTACTATGCTTTGAATGCATATTTCATCAGCCTGATACTGTCAGGTTGAAAAATATTGGTTCTACATCATGAGTAATGATGGATGTCATCTTCCTGCAAAATCAGAAATCTGTACCAATAAATCCAACTGTCTTTTTCATTTTCATTCACATTTTATGATGCAAATCAAAAGGGCATTTTGATCTGATCATGGATTATCATGGCTATTCTATCATATTGCCTTGGGTGTGTATGTGAACAAAGTGTGAGAGATAGGTAAAGTATGGCAATAATAAGAGGGAACGGGGGAAGGAATTAAAATAGATATTTATAGGTTTATTATATTAAACCACGACAAACCTAACAACTCAGTTCATGAACTGAATGTTTTTCAGTTCCACTCACCTGTTAGAAGGGAAACTTCATAAAATCATTTTGTCTTCTTCACTCTTTTCTCCTTCCCCTTGGAGGATATTCTATTTAATATGAGATTTTAAAGAGGAATTTATCCATCTGCCACTGCTACGGTATATGAAGTCAAGAATGTCCATGCCTGGGAACTGTTTTATATTTTTATTTTTTTGAAGACTTTATTTTTATAGAGTAGTTTTAGGTTCACAGCAAAACTTTAGGGGAAAGCACAGAGATTCCCCATATGCTCCCTGCCTCCCCACGTGCACTACCTCCTGGTCATCAACATCCACCCTCCATCAGAAGGGTACATTTTTTACAAATGATGAACTGACATTGCATCATTATCACCCAGGGTCCATTGTCTACCTTAGAGTTCACTCTTGGTCTTGTAAATTCTCTGGGTTTGGGGAAATTCTCTTGGTATGGGGAAGCACACACACACACACACACACACATCTTCAGTGGCAAGAAGAGCAGTAAGAAGGTTTGTGAGGATCATAGTTACTAGCCTAGCATGATGTCAGAACAATCAAATAAGATTTAGATCTCCAGAGAGTAAGGTAAGTATTGCTGCTCACTGATGACAGTGATGGAAAACAATTACCTAGAATTTCACATTAACATTTGACTCATCTCTCTTGACATATTGTTAAGTGCAGTAAATCATTTTCTTAAAGCCTGACTCCTGGCTGAAAAGGAAATTAAATGTGACTTTGAAGAATGGTTTTAAACAGGTTGACTTACTGACAAAACAACTAGGCTAACACTAGATAAAATCACATGCTTTGCTGCTCATGTTAACATAGTAATTACATGTTGACATGGAATAAGCAAACCACTTTTTTATTATATATATTATTATGTAATCACTTTTTGTTTATATTAGTTGTGGGGAAAAACTTGACTTATTACTTGTATTATACAATAAGAGATTGAGAGGAAACTGTAACTTAAAAGCTTTCCAAAATGGGGTTAATGGGTCCTCTGGCCTGCTTTCACATTCAGGTTTCAGGGGAATCTGTGGAGTGGCAGATGAGAGAGTATACTACCCTTGCTACAGTGTGAATGCAGGTGAATACATTCATTCCTACATATTACACCTGGGGTCACAGTGGCTGCCAGTTTTCAGGGCAGGAAATAGAGCTTTTATAAGAGTGAAACATTTGACCAAGGAAGGAGTCTACAATAGTCACAAGAACTGGTGC